TTCTCCAGTCTGCACAGGGGTAACTGCAGCCACATGGATCTCGTAGGTCATTCCCAATACTGTAAAAAAGTGAAGCAGAGTGAAAACCACGTCGTTGTTTGCGCAAAAGCAGCGTTTTTGTCAAATTATAGCGTGGCACCACAGAACATTATTGAAGCCAGTTTAGAAAAAAATCGGCCTACTGATGATGTACAGTTGCGGATAAACGGAACTCAGTTGAGTAATGAACGATATCACTGATGGACAGATTTAATCGCGTCAGCGATATCTTCTAACTAATTGCAAATTATTCTTGTACATTTCTTGTCGACGTATAGATTTATTAAATAATCCGTTAATCAGATCGCTTGAATGCTTTGAGCGTCAGTAATTCTGAAATTCGATCATATACCAGGTGAAACCAAGGCTTGGTCAGCTTTGTTTGGAAGACGAGACAAGCCCCTAATGCGTAATTTTTATAGGAAATACGGTTTCACTTAAAAGATCAATGTTTCTCGTGGGTTTAATGCATCCAAATCACCCTATCTTGCACCTTTATTAAAGGTATCAAGAACTTGGTCAAGGCATGACAAATAGTCCGGTGTTCAGTCAGTTTTTGTAGATTACTGCAGACTACTTACTTATTCGTGAAAGTGTTCAAACACGTGTGATAGTCATCCACTGTGGAAATACGAAAAGTAAACATCTGTCACATTGTATACCCCTACTGAATCGTATAACGTTATGAGTTAAATATTCGCGAACCGGACAACCTTCTTCTGTATGCTTTTCTCATGTTTCCGAATGAAATTAATGGTTGAAAGTCACTTGCAGGAACACGAAACTAATATGTTGTTTCATCTGTCCAGTCTCCTACTTTATTTGCTCGAATCTTCGATATATCAAATTCACTACTGACCACAGTTACCTGGCGATATTAAATCGGTGTGAAATTTTGCTTTCACAATCTGTTACAAGTTTTGTCAACAATCACATTGGTATTACTATGACGATGGTCTACCTATTCGCGTCCCTTTTTCAATGCAGTGCAAAGAAGACTGGGGAGAAGTCTCGGTTCGCCTCAGATATGAGATTGTGATATGGTGTGTCGTGGATTCCTTATCGAAAGTGAGAAATCGATAAACCTCGAATTTATAGAATATTTATTTTTCTCTGGAGGCACGATAAGAACATCATTTCTACGAATCGAGCATGTTCGTGTTGTACACATCCCGCCGCCACACACACACAAACATGTCATCACTAGTGTCTTCACTGCTTTGTGATTTACAAGACTTCACGTCACGATTCTATCTTTAAATTGAATTTTAAGATGTGAAATGGTTACCGAAAAGACGGATGGAATATTAGACAAGCAGAGTGAGGGAAAGATCGTTAGAGGTGTATTATTAGATTCGTGTGCCGGGGAATTAAATTTCCAACGCATCTCGAATGAGCGAATCCCCTGTGGTTGTTATTATCGGTCTACTTAGGAAAGATTTCAAAATTCTTCATCGCAGACTGTCAATTATCAGTCCTGTATGTCCTCGATACCCCTTGAAGATCGATTCATAAAACTGTGTGAACAACACTTGTCCGCAGGAGGTCCTTTCTGATCCCACTCATTCTTCACATGGCGACCTATCCAAACATCACCTTCACGCCTCAACACGTTCTGTATATGGTTTATTTCTTTTTTCTGCAGAGATTTTGCGGAATTCTTGAAAATCAATAGCTAGTTTCCACAGAATTTCTCAGCAAATTTTGAATGTTGGATTATTTCCTTCTTCTTGCTGAGCTAACATTCAACTTTTGGCTGAACTGTAGACATTTTATCAACGCCAAAGTTTGTATTATAACAAAATACAAATAGCGCTCATTATTCATGTCATCGTGACTATCCTGTCGTACCTCACCTGGCCTAAATGCTAGTTGAGGTATAGAATAACGACCGAATTCTGTCGAGATGGGCATGTAGTTGGTAATATCTTTGGGAAAGTTTGCCAGTTGCAAAGTACTTCATAGCGAGGCTGTTGAGCAAAAGTGTGCGTACACATAGATTGCAAATCGGTCGGTAGCACTCAGCTACGGTTATTTACTGACATGTATGTACTTACTATTAACAAAGCGCTACGTGATAAAAGAACAGTTTCAACAAAATTAACAAAACCTTTTTTGTTTATTCATGCGAGTCATGGAGGATTTGATTCAATTTCAAATGGGAAGTTCGTCGTGTATATGTCAAAATGTAGCGTGAACTGAAAAGCTAGGAAGCACTGGACAGCTGTTTCCACCTGGTTGAGTATCATCAGCAGTGTGAATCCCTCAACCCAACAGGGAATCGAACCCGGAACCACATGAATCAAGTAATCAGGTTGTGATTGTTTCCAACCGAGTTATAACCCGCAGGCAAGTGCCGAGATGAACGAGATGCGAGACCCGCGACAAGCTAGCGAAATTGGTTGTGTTATATCGTGTAATTGGAGAATGAAATGATCAGTTGCCCAGCGGTCGAGTGGGTAGCGTGGCTTTTTTCTGCGGTGGGGTTCCGGGTTCGAGCCCCAGTTGGTTCGATGGATTAATGGAGCTGTTGATGAGACCCAACCAAGTCGAAACAGCTGTCAAGTAGAGCTTCCTAGCTTTTCAGCTCACGCTTCATTTGCTACATACATGACGAATTTCCCCTTAATGCTTATGTTTTTCAGGTTTCCTCATCCTACCCGTTTGCTGAGACGATTTTCGCAAACAACTGCCTTTACCCGCTGGACTACAAACTATGTGGCGTATCACTGATAATTTTAAATTAGGAACAAATAGAATGAAAAAACGGGGGGGGGGCAGTAATGGATATTGGCACCAGGTCCCAAAGGGGCTTGTGCAAATAGCGTGAAGATTGGGCGAATAGAGACCCAAATTTGTCCATCACTGTATAGGATCACTGGTTCCTGTCGCCAGTTGAAATGTGACGTAATCTGATCTACTATAAATGATGCATCACATATCACCATGACCAACTGGGGCCAACCAGACACAGGGGGAATGTGAAGCGAGATCGTTCTTTTGGTTTCAGGTTGGCCACGAATGGATTGCTGCTCGGGTGAAACGCGTATGCATTCGTGCGTGGCTTGGTTCAAACAAAGAGAACGTTTGCGTGTGTGTGTGCTTGTACGTGCATGCGTGCGTGCGAGCGAGTAGTATCACCCTTGATTTATTACCTCGTCATTATTATTGGTCTTCTAAAGTGACTTTATGAGACTAGGATAGTCATGGGAAGCGGCTGGTTCGATTGGGCTTGGAGGACCGAATCATAGAAAACGCACAATCATTTCTTCCATCTATAATGGACTCGTGTACTGCCGTTCGACAGATCAGTTTGGAAGATATATATCAAGGTTGTTTGACGGTAGCTAATAGACGGAACAATGGTCGAGTGGTGCTGAGGATGAAAAGATGCAATGCAAAACGATAATCGGTTTATCCGTGTGAGTTCAACGTGCTCAATCCCAGATAACTCTTAGGGTGACAAAATCCAAAATGGGCTCCTTGAACTTCAGCTAACTGTTGAAATGTGATCAATAAATTCATAGAATTTTTTTTTCGTAGCCCCTAAAATCACCAAAAATGTTGCACATTCCTCATGAGAGAATCCCTTTTTATTTTTGTGGAATATATCCCGGGTACAATGGAAAGAATAGCGTTTACAACGAAATTTCTTTTCCACCATTTTCACCAGAAATAATGCAAACAGTTTTTATTCTGAATGCAGCTCGGTCCTTGGTAGCTAGCTAGTCAGCTAGGCTAGTGATCGTCAATCATAGAAGGGGCCGCGACGGGCAAAGGTCATGTGAGTCTCACTCAGTAGAGAACACAAATGGAAAACGGTCTATGCTAACTGACATATTGTCAAACGAGGCGAGCTGAGAACAGAGAAGCAATAACATGAATTGGATGAGCGCAAGGGAAAGTTCGGCACTGCCCTCGTCGGCGCTGTGCAGCGGTAACCATTGCATGCATTTCTCTAGACCATTCCTCATTATAACATATGACATCGACTGTCTGGATTATTGTCCAGTCTATCTTAAACAACGTTATCTCTCTCTCTCTGTTATGAGCTTACAACATGTACCAACATATCAATCAGCACACGCCTTTTTACGGTGGTTTTCCCTAATGAAACTCGCGTGACCTTTGGCCTCCCGACCATACCATCATCATCCGATCACTGATTGTCCTCCAAAGCCTGCCTGCTCTCAGTCAAACAATCCCCACCATCTGAGACGAATTCAGACAATCCCAATTGTTGCTGTATTATCATCCTACATATGTAACCATTGAATGAAATGTGTGAAAAGGGGATTTCTTCTCAAACGCAGTCTTCGGGATTCCTCATCTAACAAGCTCCTCTTGAAAACTCAGGGTGCGATCTTTCTCACATTCTGGTAAAGTGTAAAGCCATTAGTGCATACAGAATTCAGTGATTGATTTCAAATTTAGTCTGTTCTTAGAATGTTATGCTCCAGTGGGTATGATCGATCGTGACTGCCTACAAAATTCTGAAGAGAGTCCCACAACATCAACATCAACAACGAAAAAGGATTGAAATTCGTCTACGAACGGAGCTAATGATACACGTCGTGTATCATTTCTTTTTTTTTTGAAAGTGAATCCCGATTACTGTTTCCACCACCACTATGACTACTTAATCGACCACTCATGCATACTGGTTGTCGGAGTTCGTGCCTATAAACAACTCTTTCGCTCTCAACACTCACTGATTTCCTCATTTAAATCCAGACTGAACGGGACAACTAAACTTGTATTTTCAAGTGGCTCCAATTAGCTGAGGATAATTATAGGCAGTAGTTAGTAATTAAACTGATTCAGTTCCTAAATATTTTTGATGTCGATGTACAGAGTTAAATTGAAGTATTTAATCTTTCACTTCTCTTGGTGAACAACGGTGGATAATGGGCGATTAAGGTTCGTCTATTTTGTATTTGAAGTATCACAAGCAGATTATTTTACTCATAGTAATTGAATGGCTTACAGAATTGTCCCGGTGTTGGATTCCAACTGTTTGTTGTTATGTTCATCTCGCCACCAAGTAAGGTAACGGGTATCAGGTCCCGAATTTGGGTGAGGCGATCTTGTCGTTTCTCTTGCCCAGGCCAATACAACATCCATTCTGTGTCATTAAGTGCACGACGCAAACGGAATCGGCGGTTTTGTTGTCCCAAGCCTTGTTCCCCGGAAACTCCGAGCATCAAACGCCATTTGATTCGATAGAGCGTTTCGTTAGGCAGCACCGTTCCACGCGGTTCCCCGGAGTCCGGATGTACATTCACTGTGAGTGGTGCTTCCCAGGTTGCGCGTAGCGCAACTTGTGGTGGCACGTCTCTCACGGACGGTGGAATGATTTGGCTGAATAACCGTAAGTTGCGTGGTGCAGCGGGAGCTGAATACGATAGAAAAATATCGGATTATTGAAAAATCAATGATGGAACAAAATTATTCATAAACAAATGATATTACTCGTTCCCATCTGTCTTTGTATCTTTTTTACTTCCGTTTTTATATATTGAATATACAAATACACACAGTGAACATTCAGGAAGGGGGGCCGTGGCCATACAATAGCCGCCTGGAAAATAGAGAATCAGAGAAGATGGGCGGCGCGCGAGTGGTTCGAACCCAATTGGCCTCCACCGTCTATTGTCATTAGTTGCTCGTACGCACCATTTGCTCAAATTTGAATCACATTTCACTAAAACATCGACAGTCTTTTGACTGGCTGAACTAAATTCAATAATACATCGTTCGTTTGACGTAGTTCTAGTTTCACCGTACGTGAGAATCTGAGATCTGCCGTTCATGGTCACTTCTGCTGCATGTCTTCAGATAAACTCGCGGTACTTCTTACAATTTGCGTTTCAATATCGTCATTAGCTATTTTATTCCTCGGGTTATTGGAATGTGGTTCACTTTTAATATACAGTCTATTGGGAGTGAACTACAAACAAGATAAACAGTATTATCACAAAAACACACTATTCTGATTAGTTTATGCACAAATCAGTTTTGGTAGTTTGTGACAAACTGCATTTGAGACTGTTTGATCAGTAGATGAGTGAGTGATAGTGGGGCACCTTGTGTTGGGAGGATTGGAGTGAGAACTTTGGAGATGCAGGATACCAGAAATGGCTTTGATTGAACAACTAACATGCTAACTAACATCGCGCCGCATTGTCCTATTCATCCATCCTTGATACGATTTTGGAGTGTATAGTATTATAACCCCCCCCCCCCNCACATTCTGTGAAAAGATCAGTGCCATCGGCATGGCCTCGTAGCTCAGCTTGTACAGCGTCGGCCGCGTCCTTGCGTGGGTTCCATTCTCACTGAGTCCACTGAGATTTCACAATTCAAATATTGATAAACGTATTTCAAAAGCTGTCATTGTTGCCGGTTACTCTCTGTGAGGCTCCGTGTTCTATCCTCACTTTGGCCAATGAGATAAGAATAGATTTAAAAAGGGTATAAAACTCTTCTTCGCTTCACGCTTCTTTTACTTTGTACATAATGAGATTCACTGTAGAACAGCTTTGTTCGTAACAAAGTTCAGCTGTAGAGAATTTAGATAAATTATCGTTCGACAGACGAACGTTTAGTAAACCGGTGGTAGAAACGTAATTTTCATGTTTAATAAAAGTTGGTACCTCAATTTCAGTGGATGTTCAGAAACTTATGAATTCCCGAAAAGTCATTTCAGGTACATAAAAAGTTTTTCAACTGACGGACAGGTTATAACTCAAGACGTAATGCGACGCACAGAAAACTATTTTCCCTTCACTCTGGGATTTGACAGCAAATCAGATTATCTCTCCGCAGTAAGATGTGCGGTATTTTTACACACACACAAACGTAAATTGATACTGCGACTCTAATACTGTGTTAATTTCGACTACCAGCATTGTGACTACTGTGGGGAGGCGGAATTCCCGGGCTTCGAGGGAGTAGCCTGACTAGAAAAATCGGCTAAGATCAAATTGCATATTGGTTTAACTGAGAGGAAAATCTGAATACAAGTAGTTCACTCAAAATGCATGGGCGATACTTTCGTATGTTCTGTCATTCACAGACGGATCCAGTGCAAAAATAAAGTATGCACTCGAACAGTTCCAAACAATCTCAAGCGCTTTCTGCTCACATAGCTTATCGACGGATATGTGGTAACTGGGAATGATCATATTTTCAGCACGCTCAAGGTAAAAGTGTTTCTTCTACCTGTCATCACTGTTCGTTTATTTGTTTTTTGGTCCCTCAATGTGTCCCTTGAAGCGAATTCAACTTTGATGTTTACCTCAAAGACCAATGATTGCAATCGCACTCTTTCTGTTTCAACATTAACACGCTTGGATAGAATCATGTTTTCCCGAGTTGCTACATACTGTGTGCAGGCTTTTCGATGCCGTTTCGGATCTGTAGTGGTCCGTGATTGATGCTGAAGTCGGTCTGGAGAGATCGGCTCTCCGAATAAAATAAGAGCATCCCTTAGGTTAAAACCGTGTCTTCCGCTTCTTACCGAATTAGGTGTCCCCCGGACTAGCACATAACATGTTTTTTGCATTAAGAAGAAAACTGACCAACAAAACGGAAGATTGAAATCCGAAATAAACAACAACGGTAGCAACAGCAGCAGCAACAATAACAACAACGTAATGTAACTTTATTCCCCATTCCGCTGACGCTATGAGCTTACGAGACTCAAACCCAGAGTTCCATAAGGCTGAGGCAAACGGATTATCCATTTAGCAATCTCGTAACAGATAGAACTCTAATTTCCCCACCTCATATACGATTTCGCAGAAACCAGTTGCCCAAAATTTGAGTGGGTAGGTAGGAGTAATTAGCATCCATGATTTCATAATTGGTCAAAAACATGCCCACCACCATTATCATTTTTTATCGCCCCCCCCGGTAGTGGTAAATGGATTTTGTTATATTTTTATGTTTAAGTGATCACAAAGATTTAGATGAGTGATGTTCTGTCACGTGATGCAAGATAAATCCTTTTGCTTTACTTCTCTTAGGGGACCACCAAAGCGGCTAGAAAACTTACCTTGGGACGATTTTTTCTTTCTTCTCTATTCCTCTTCCACTCCGGAATACAGTTGAACGGACTATAGTTCATCAACTGACATATGTGTACCGCAAAAAATAGGATGACATGCTATCAAAAATGGCATTATTCATAAATCACCAACCATGTTCTCAGTAGCTTTTTCTTTATTTTCAAACATTAGTCTCCATGGTCACGAGTACCTGACCTGAGAAGACAACATGTCCAAGGTGGTGTACGTGTGTGTGTATGTATTCGTATGCAATATCGGACATGGGTGCCAGCTCTGTGTACTGTTCCCTCCTAAAAGGGGAGCTATAATTTCACTGGAGATGCCCTCCCCTATTTGTTTCATATTACCACTAATTTCATAGATCTATTTTATTGCGACAGCAAACACACCTGCAGAACTGATTTGGTAAATAAGTTTAAAAAACTTGCTGAAAACGATCCACGTTCGAAGATTATTCTCTATAGAGGATTCAGGTGAATAATACACTGTTAACCCATCAAAAAAGGTGACCTCTGGGAGAAACCCACCCCACCCCACCCCACGCGGATTCGAACTCCAGTCCACCTAACAACCTGTTTGACTATGAAATCTTTTGCCCCGTTTTTCGCCTAACCAATTTTACATCAACCCAAAATTCTCATGTTAGGACTTTTGTGACCCGTAGACGCTACTTATGAGGAATTATATCCCTGAGGCGGCATTCGTAATTCCTTTGATAATGCAGGTTACAGTGGGTGAAATCAGTCATACACACATGGGCGGATATTGACACAGCAGTCAGAAGCGAGATGCCCGCATTTTCATTTGTCCCGGAAGGATACAGAACAAAACGAATTTATTCTATTCTACTAATTGATGCAAACTTGGGTTGAACCCTGAGAAATGTATGCTGATGATCAGATCATCGTATAAATATTTATTCATATACTCGTCAGTATATACGACTGTGGACAGACACACACGCACAAGTACGAAGTGGCTCGGAAGAGAATTCACTTTCAGGTTATTCGGGCCAATCCAGACTTCGCCTTCAGGCCTATACGTCTCGTTGTCTGTGTGTGCCCGCCAATGCGCGCTTCATCATCATCATCAATATTATCACAGCAAAGGACACAGCTTTCCAAGTAAACATCCCAACTTTTCGTATTAATCACTGTACCACGATAATGCTATAGCTTTTCCTCGTCCGTTTGGTTTCTCGCTACCTACCCGTTGGAGGCGCCGCGAATTTTGCAAAACGCATCACCCAAAAACATACGAGAACGAGGGTAAGACAGACAGACAAACAGACAGAGAGACAGACAGACATTGGAAGATGAGGTGACTCACACCGTTAGATGATCGGGGGAATACGGGGTTCGGTTGGAGAAGAATCGGTGCGACGGAACGTGAGTCTAATTTGCTTAGTTGATTACCAATTTGTGAAATGGAACATTTACCTGCTGTGGTCTATTTGCTTGTCTTACTATGTGTTCGCGCGTATAAGTGGAATAAAAAACACTGGTGAAAATGTCCTTTATTATGGTAACTTGCAAAAGAAAATCCAGTCGATCAAATTGTTTTTTAATCATTTGTCAACCACTCTGCAGTGGTAGAAAACAAATCGTGGTTAAAACTCTCAGTTAATTCACGCACAAAAGACCAGCAAATCTATTACACACGCACTTGCATATACACACACGACCAAGTTTTTTGACCGATAAACCGTATTTACTTGTTCACCAAAATCTCACAAGAAGTTCATTACTTTAAGTAATTAATCTAAGCGCAAAAGACTCATGTACTCATATAGGGGTGTTTGTGGTCCCGAAACCAGACATGATTGTTGTTGAATTGCGTTTAATTATTGAGTGGACTGAAAAAAAACCAGCTTCTATACGGCAGATTTACCACATATTCAGCCTCACCAATCCCGTGAATCATTGTTTAGGAGCATTAATTCCAATTGATTATTGGTGTTCATTGAGCCTATCTATCCATCTCTCCGTGTCTATCTATCTATCTATCTATCCATCTATCTATCTATCTATCTATCTATCTATC